TCTTGCAGCAGCTGTAGATGGAATGAAAAAGCTGACGCAGGAATGGTCTAAGAGTGATCCAAGACACAACGCACCGGCGCTGCCCAGGGGTGGGATCAGAAATGCAGTTATTATTTTGTACTTCTTAAGTTCTATATATTTTCAAGGTGCTGGATATGTTTTACCTGGACACCGAGCTCACTGAGCTGTCATTCCTTGTTTCAAGAAGCCTGATTCAGCATTCATAAAAGACGTAAATAAAGGATGGCGTCTGGCTTTACCAAATTATAGTTATGGTCCAACAATTTTATTCCAGTGGTATGTTCTGTTCTTTTATTCTGTTAAATCAGATATTTTAACAAGGCACTAGAAAACAACATTTTTCTGTAGTCCATAATATCAGCTTTTGCCTCTAAGGTCTTTATAAGCACTGTAAGCACAACACGCGTCCCAAGCATATTGGGATCAAAAGTTCCTCTATTGCTAAAAGAAGTACAAAACAATCTGGGGCCCAGTTCAGCTTCTGCTATGTTCAACAACAGAGAGAATGAGTTATTTTTCTCTTAAACTACTAAAATGCTCCTAAACCACAATCCCTGTCTTGCAGAGGCTTAAGTCAAACATTGGTCTAGAAGATAATGCTACCTTGGGTAAAGGCTTTTCACAGAAGGGAAGAATAAAGGCACAAGCGTGTCAGATCACAGTTATCAGTGGGCAACTATAGTCTATTTTGTTTCTTTGTTACAAAAGATTAAAGTAATAATACTTTGACGGTGCTTCCATCAATTTAAAATGCTCTGCTAGATAAATATTTTTTAAGATCTGTACAACAGGCCTTCTATTTAACAATGAATACATTTCAGACTAATGTGCTGCCAAGCTCCAGCTCTCTTTCTAGCAGCTGAATTCTTGGATAAAATCATTTTGCAGGGTATGAGCAATGCAGTTCTGAAAATAGCATCACTGCAAAATGAAAGATGGCAAGAACCTCTACAATGCTGATTTATTTCAATGAAACTTCATCTCTTATGATCAGTATCTATTTCGATGTTTTCAGCTGAATTTTCATACTTAATAAAATGTTAATCTATAGAATTTTTTAATTTTGAGGCCCCAGCATAAATAGCTAAGAGGGAAACAAACAAACAAAAAGAAATAAAAAAATAAAAAATACCCATTTGTGATTTATATCATAAAATATGCAAAACAGAAAAATGCTTTGTGGATCCAAATAAGTTGCATTTATAACCATCACATGTACAGAGACACTCACAAAACTAAACCAACACCAATCAACAAGCTGTTATACACTTATCTTTAACTATATTTCTACCAGAAGAAAGGATTGGAGTGATACTTTTTAAAATACTGGTGGGTTTATACATCTTGCGTAATACTCAGCATTCAGACGTGCTGCTGAGAAAACACTAAGAGGTGACACTGCACCTCCCTGGTTCTAAGTACATCTTTTGGCTTTCTTTCCAATTCACTGGTATGAAGGCACACTTCAGTACATTATTTTTTTCCCAATAATGAAGATTTTTTAATAGATTGGAAAATAATATCTTCAAATGAGAAGGAGCCTGGTATTTTACAATCCATTAATGCAGCTGTCTTTTCTAATTAACATCAGCAATAAAATTGGCATTCTTCTATCACAGACTTTATGCTAAAAATGTGATTATATGTATATGAGAGATGTCAAAATCCCTAAGTCTGACAGTAGAGACAGATGAAAAGAACACATGATAAATCCCTTCTATCTACATTTGGTCACCGATTTTATATAGAAAGCGACGCTGTGTACCGAGCCCAGCTACATTCTCAGCAAGACACACACTTGTTAGGTCCATGTGCAGAAACCAAAAATAAGAATGTCCCAGTTGTGCAAGCTCTAATTCATATGACTCATATAGATTTCCCTGACTTGTCCTAATGACACCAAAACAGTGAGGATGATTCATGCAAATGAAAAATGGGAATACACAACTTCTTTTCTAAATATTTCCTAACTGCATACAGATATGCACATATGATCATATGTATATTATTTTTGTCCTCTGTGTGCTATTTTTATCCTCAGATGTTTTACACCAATTGATCTAAGTAGCAGATCTGGCTTGAATACAACGCATAATTTAATCTCTACATACAGAACAGGTGACTGAGGAGGAAAAAAGAATAAAAGATAAAAGAAAGAAATAAAATGAACGGGGTAGGAAAATTAGAGAAAATAAATTAAAAACAGGCATTAAGCTATCTCCGGAATGATGTAATTACAGAAACAGCAGCATTGATATTGAAAGGCTTCATCTGTAAGTTCATCAAAATTAAAATATCTGTTTTGCTGTGGGGTTTTTTTCTTTCTTTTTTAATCAGTGCAGACAGGTTTCTCACCAGGAAGCAATAGGTACATCTTTATATTGTATGTTCCTTACTATTGGTAAAAATATCAACACTGCTAAGACGTACGCTGTCAAAAGCCTACTTAAGAATTACAACATATTTTTAAACTCTAGACTATCTGTTTTGATGCAGCATAGATAACAAAACAGAAATATAATGAGTCCCATGCTACGTTTAGCAGGAAACATACAAGCCACAGTTACTTAATAGCATTTTTTTCTTAAGTCTGTATAGGTGCGGGTAATAGATAAATGTGTATGGCTACAAAGAAAGAAGTGCTTTGGCTACTGCGTTAGCAGTCGTGTGGTTATAGTGACAGGAGTATTATATACAACAATATTCTCATGTAAGTGCAAAATACCTGCTGCGTTGTGCGTATAATTGAAGTATTTGGGGTTGCTATGTTAAAAGTAAGAGCATGACATCCTATAACAACATCCCTATTACATGATACCATGAAAATGATACATTTTAATGAAACATATTATGTATTATTTAGTATCTAAACCTTACAGCTAAAGATCAAGACATAATTATGCTATACTTAAGTAGTTCATTAAAGAAAAGTCTTCAATATTTGTGGTGAAATATTCCAACCCAGGAAGCAACAAATGTGATTATACCACCTGCTTAGATTTTTAATGAAAAATTAGAGCTCCCATTTCATATAGCACAGTCCTTCACTTGAAATTCGCTATACATTTCTACTACAGCCTTTTTGCTTGGTCAGAGAAGCAAAATTAATCAGATGACTGAGATTTTACCAAACAGGTATTGCTTAAACCTTCAGCTAAAAATGCTTCATACTTGTACACTACTGTATTGGTGATAAAGACTTCTGAATGCTTTAGTAAAAGCACATGTTAAAATATTTACTGATGCAGAAGGAACAGATGACTGAAGGAAAAGTGATTGTACGCTAATGAGTTGTTGATGAAATCATGAGCTACATAGCCCTGAATATGCACATTTTTCATACAACAGCTGGGAAATACTGCTTCCTCAGACCAACTTTTTAACTAAGAGAAAAAGAGACTGAAAATAATGGGGGAAAGCAGGGAGCTAAGAACATTATATCAGCAAACCTTCAGCTCTTCAATTATTAATATCCTTTCTTTTCTTTATTCTCTTCTGTCATTTTTTCCTAATTTTAATATTCTTAAAATATAATCTCTTTCACATTAAGAGCATTTGCGTCACTTCTCTTTGTTCTTCCCCATTTGTAATCTATAGTAGGAAACAAAATACCACGGTCAAGTCTTAAAAAAGAATCCAAAAATTGTTTTCTCTTTCACCTGTTACATCATTACTTTTTGCAAAAGCAGCTCTTCCTGCATCAACCTGTTGTGCTGTCTTCTAAATGAACTAAGCCTTATTTGCACTCTGATTTAATTTCAAAGGGGAAACATTACTATGAAGGATGGACAGGCACTACAGATTGTTTCTGCAATATTTCAATAGAATAATAATGAGAAAAAAGAAAGCCAACAGTAAGTAGATTGTGTAGAACATGGAAATGCTATTGACGAACATCACATCCTGAATTATTTAATCATAGGTATAGTTATAACTAAACTTGTATTATATAATATGTTTCCTTGTTGACAATTGCCTGCCAGTAAAGGTAAATTCTGCAGGGAATTAACAAACATGGAGAGAAGGACAAAAACAGTTTTAAGGAAATATTCCGTCATATTATGCTAAAAAGTGAACTAGATTTCTATTTGAAATTATACAATGTACTTTTAGTACGGTATTCTTTTAATTTCACTACGTTCCATAATTCTTTCTCTCTTAAAACTAGAAAAATCTATGTAGAAGATACATTGAAATTAGTTGTGTATGATAACCTTATCAGCTCAGTAAGAAACAATAAATACAGGAGCTCAAACACAAGAAAAGCACTGACTTAAAAAGCCCTGGCTTTGTCTTTTGTCACTTTTGCTTCTACATTGCACATCTTACTAAATTGTAACACGAGAATATTTTAAAAGATAATTTTCCCTTCAATGAAAGGCTATATTTATTCAACTTAGAAGATATTAAGTGGTTGTTTTACACTTATCTTTGTATTCCTTTCTTTCATTTAACAGTGAGAGCATCCCTTTGAGTCTTTCATAATGGAACCGATACTCAGAACTGAATCCAATTATAACAATCTACCAGCAGTACTAATTGGTGAGAATGCATTGCTGGTAATTGCTGTAAACTCATCCTTCTGCACAGGATGAACGGGGGCAATAAATTCTACGCAGCGTTAAACAATAGGGAAGACTACCATTAGCACTGCTTTGCTTATATAAAATGTATTAAAGTGAGTCATTCACTTCAAAGTTACTTATCGGTAGCTTTAACCCAGATTTAGGGACGAAGGTAAATGCTGAAAAAATTTATATAAATATATATATATAAGTAATAGTGTGAGGAAGAAAGAAGAAAAAGAAAACACAGTCATTAGTCCATAATGTTTTGTTGTGGGTTGTGTGGTTGTTTTTTTTTTTCCAATGTGTAGGAGAATTTCAAATATGATGTATTAGCTTATTTTTGCCTTTCTTTTATTGCCTGCTCTCGTGATCTTTGCACTGCTCTGGACAACACTTTTTGTGCTAATAAGCATGCAACGCTTCAAAGATTTCTATCTTAACGGCTCCGCAAAAGAGAAAGCTCCTCGCACCGAGAGCATCCTCCCGCAGCTCTGGCAAAGGGGAATTTTTGAGAAGTGAGGATTTGCAAGGCCGAGGCTGAAGAAAACACTTCTTTACTTCGGTGGCTTTAAGGGTGCCGAAGACCCTCTGGTGTGGCACACGCCTGCGCACACCCAACCACCCCCCCCGGGCGACCAGGGACAGAAAACACTGTCCAAAATCCCCGTGGTGTGGCTGGAGCACGGCCAGGCAGGAGGGAGCTGAGGCACAGGCTCCCAACTCAAACCGACGCTCGCCCGCCTTGTTCCAGCCGCAGAAAGGCGAGGAAAATCTGCCTCTTTTTTTGCGTGAATGTGAACCGAACGGCTAAAGTTTTAATTTTTTTTTGTTTGTTTGTTTGATCGTTTGTTTGTTTAAATAGCGTTAGAACTCCAGCCAGGCTGAAATAACCTTTGTGGGAGGAGGGGGCGGGCTCAGCGTAACTCGAAACTTTCCTCCCGGCGCGGCTGAGCTGCCGGGGGTATATTTAGAGCCGGGATCGGCTCCGGAGCGGGGCTTGGGAGGCAAAGCCCTCACCTCAAAAAGTCCCGCCACCACCGGGGCACCCTCCCCCGCGGAGAGACCTGCCTCTAACCTGCCTCTTTCCCAAGCAAAACCAGCCGAAATCCCGCAGTTTCACCTCACCGCCACTTTCCGCCCGGACTTACTTTATTTCCCCCTTTGTATTTTCCTCGGCGCCGCGCTCTCTCCGCCACAAAGGTGCGGCCGTGTCGTGCCCCCCCCTC